CTTGAAGTGCTGTACTCAAACGAGCCGAAGTAGGCGTTGTACTAGCTACCGGCTTGTGAGGCGGTCGGTGATGCAAACGCTGGACTCGTTGGGAAGGGTGCAGGTCACTCCGCCGGGCCGTATGGGAAGAGGAAGAAGAAAGATTGTTTCGGGCAGTGATCGTCACAACATATATATTGTCACACTGGAAATCGGAGCGCAAAGGCGGAAAAAGACAAAACAAGAAAAAGAAAAAGAAGTAAGGAAGGAAAGCCCCACCTGTTCGTCACAACATATATATCGTATATACACACAAATATATCGTCAAACAGAGCTGCCCAGTAAACCGTAGGCAGAGAGAGGGAGGGAGAAGAGGACAACAACAAACGAGGAAGGGGCTGTGACAAACTGTTTCGTCGGACTGTTTCACCGACCGACTCATCACTCATCAATCAGTAGAGTCTGAACCCTCAACAGTCTGCACAATCCCCCTAACAGACTGATTAGTACACTGTAAGTGATAATCCACCTTACCCCACGCGGCTGTGGTTAAAAGCATCAACGACTGCCCAACAACTGATACCCCTCTAAGGTGGTGGGGACCACCAACCACTGCCCTCAAGCCACCTGTGACGAAAATCACAAACAGACTATCACTCACCCACACCGGATATAACTCCAAATAGTCCATACACAAAAGCCCAAACCCCAGGGGAGGTTTGCTCGGTTCAATCCAGAGCCTACAAGGTCCGACCCCTACCGCCTACCGTCTACCGTCTTCCCCCGAACACAACGCACACCTCATTTTGACTGTATCGGCCCGTAAACATGCCTTTCATTCGTTCACTTTCCGGTTTCTTTATGTTTTTCTCAGGAAGACGGTAGCAAAGAGGATAAGATAAGATTACGCGCCTGATCCTCGACGTCTTTGTGCAGACTAACCACATCGGAAGCCATGTCCCACTAGCAGCGTTCAGCTACCTCAACGCCTGAATCTGGACGTGTTTGTGGGGACGTGCAGTTCAGGAAACTCAACACCATTTCTATACATCTCCGTAAAAGCGTCCAGATTCAGGCGTTGAGGATACTCAACGCTGCTAGTGGGACTTGGCCCCGGGTTTGATCTGCTTTCTGCCTCTCTGCATACATACTTTTTTGTATTTCACCTTCACCCACTTAATCCCAAATCCCCCTCTGCGAGTCGGAAAAAAAAAAAAAAAAAAAAAAAAAAGACCTCGACCCCAGGAAGTATCCGAACTACTTTAATTACCAATATATTCCACCCCAAAAGAAAAAAGAAAAAAAGAAAAATAAACTTCAAAAAAAAAAGAGAAAAGAGGCGGAACTGAAGAAACAAGTTGCTATAAGGGGAGAGAGGGAGGAAACAAGAGGGGAGAAGAGGGGGAGGGAGGAAACAAGAGGGGAGAAGAGGGGGAGAGGGAGAGAAGAGACGAAAGAAGGGAGGGAGGGAGAGGGAGAAGAGAGAGAGAGGAGGGAGAAGAGAGAGGAGAGAGGTAAGAGGCAATCAGACATCAAAAACTCGTCAGATGAAGCCGCTAAGGGCCGCGCGCCATTATTCACGACATGCACAACAGACAAAAAATATGGGGATGTATCTTTCCATGTAGCGGAAGATTCACTCCCATTTTGCACGTTTGGTGAATAGTGGAGTGAGGCCCTAATCCTACGGACGATTACACTACCGTGGCCAGCAAATGTGAAATACTGAAAGGGTCTCCAAATTCCACACACGCTGTGACACTAACAGTACAATGATGATAGTCAAAAAAAAAAAAACAGAAAAAAAAAAAAGATGAGGGTAGTCGTTCCAGGGATAGCGGCTTTGCTCTCTGCCGTTAAAAAAAAAAGGGAAAAAAAAAAAAAAAAAGGGAAAGGACGAGAGTAATGAGAGCAATGACCATTGTACTGATAGCATGAAGGAGCAACGAAGTAGAAAGAGAACCAGGAGGAGGCGGAAGGGAGGAGCGAGGAGGAGGGAGGAGGAGGGAGGAGGATGAGGAGGAGAAGGGGGAGACCTAATGAGGAGGAATGAGATGAAGCATGGGGGAGAAGAGGAGGAGGAGAGGAGGAGGAGGAGGAGGAGAAGGAAGAGACCTAATGAGGAGGAAGGAGATGAAGCATGGGGGAGAAGAGGAGGAGAGGAGGAGGAGGAGGAGGAGAAGGAGGATGAGGAGGAGGAGGAGGAGAAGGAGGAGACGGAGGAGAAGGAGAAGGAACGAGGAATAAAAGGAAAACTGCCATAAGGCTTTCGAGGAGGAGCGGAAGCAGAAGAACAATGACGGAAGATTTTTTTTTTTTTCTGTTATGACGGAAAATTTTGTTCTTTTTCTTTTCTGTTATGACGGAAAATTTTATTCTTTTTTTTTTTTTTTTGGGACCATTTCTCGATTTATGCGTGTCATCCTTGGAAGCGCAGGGGCCATTTGCTAATTTACCCTTCTCTGTATCGTTCCAATTTTAACAGATGTCCCGAAGGACATGACGGAAGATTTTATTCTTTCTTTTTTTTCTGTTATGACGGAAGATTTTATTCTTTTTTTTTCCTGTTACGACGGAAGATTTTGTTCTTTTTTTTTCTGTTATGACGGAAGATTTTGTTCTTTTTTTTTTCTGTTATGACGGAAGATTTTCCCAACAAACACCTTAAAAAAAAAAAAAAAAAAAACAGATCCCTAATGACGAGGAGGTTGTGTAGGAGGAGAATGTGCCTGCCTGCGCAGTAACTAATTCAGGAGGACAAACCGAAAGGCCATTTAATTAAGCAATAATAACAAACAATTTAAAATTTAAAAAAAAAAACGTACGAGAAGAAGATGCAAAGGAGTAGGTTGCACGTGTAAAAATAAAATTAAAAAATAATAATAATAATAATAATAATAATAATAAAACATTGCACGACGAGACGCCACACCTCGTCTTTTCAACTAAAATGGGTGAGCGCGCAAATATGAGCCCACACCATACATACCTGCTCGTCTCTCTTACTCTAATTAGACCCCGAGGCGCGGACACCAAGCGGCCTTCTCTTCTTCTCCGGCCTGTCAATGTGAACTGTAAATGCGTACGTACGTCAGCTAGACGACGGTTCGCTCTGCGAGATCGCACATCAATCAAACTGATAGGGACTCGCGACATACCACTGTCGAAACGAAAAAAGCACTACCGGTAGTGCATCTCCCCCAAAACGAGGCCAGATGCATCTGTTTCTATTCATAGGAAAGGATGCATCTTTCCACTTTCTGTGGGAACATGGATTTGAACGTTTTGCGTTTCGACAGTGGTGCGGTGAGGGCCATAGACCGCGCACTGCGCGGTGGCGAGGGCAGCCAAGGGCAGGGAAAGGTCCGCAAAACGACAAACAGCGCAGCCTTGCAAGTCTAACGACTTCCTCGAAAGAAGAAAAAAAGAAAGGAAAAACAAAAGCGCGGCCTCTTGGCTGCAAACACCAAAAGGGAAGGAATCCACATGAAGGAAGCAGGGCCAAACGGGGCTCGTTAGACATTCCTCTGGGCCGAGGTCCCACTAGCAAAGAGGATCAGATCGAATGCCTGAATTTGGATGTGTTTTATGCAGAGATGCAGAAAAACAGTTCAATCTCGATTTTCTGCACCTCTCTNCTCAATCACTTTTGCCAGTTCCTCATCATCATGAGGGTTTGATCTTCCAACCTTTGCTGGTGTTTTTGCCTGTGAACTTGTTTGGTGGCCAGATGCATCTGTTTCTATTCATAGGAAAGGATGCATCTTTCCACTTTCTGTGGGAACATGGATTTGAACGTTTTGCGTTTCGACAGTGGTGCGGTGAGGGCCATAGACCGCGCACTGCGCGGTGGCGAGGGCAGCCAAGGGCAGGGAAAGGTCCGCAAAACGACAAACAGCGCAGCCTTGCAAGTCTAACGACTTCCTCGAAAGAAGAAAAAAAGAAAGGAAAAACAAAAGCGCGGCCTCTTGGCTGCAAACACCAAAAGGGAAGGAATCCACATGAAGGAAGCAGGGCCAAACGGGGCTCGTTAGACATTCCTCTGGGCCGAGGTCCCACTAGCAAAGAGGATCAGATCGAATGCCTGAATTTGGATGTGTTTTATGCAGAGATGCAGAAAARCAGTTCAATCTCGATTTTCTGCACCTCTCTACACACACGTCCAGATTCAGCCATTCGATCCTATCCTCTATGCTAGTGGGACCACGCCCCTGGGCCCACTAGCAACCAGATGGTTTTTGTTTTGTTTTGTTTTTTTTGCCACATTCGGCCTCGGGGCCACTGTGGCCAAAGTCGTCCTCGGGGCCGAGGGTTTTTTTTTTTCTTTTTTTTTTTAAATGTGGCCGATGGAGGTCACCCGAGAGAATTTCCGCCGTTTTCCTACGGCGGGCCCGTGGCCGGTCGCATAATCAAATTATTCCCGAGCCCGGGGGGGGGGRGGAGTTCGCTGGTCCATGGGTTCTTGTCCAAGAGACGGGAAAATTTGAATCCTGGCGGCCATCCTCAAAAAAAGAAAATAAAACGCACCCGCGCCCTGATTGAGTAAGTTAGGGACGGTGTATATCGTCACCAAAACAACACATAGCAAGTTAAGACTCGTGAGATAGTCAGCCTGCAAAATATGTGAAATCCCGAATTCGAGTTGAACTCAGCAAATAATAATCAGAGAAAACCAAAAGAGATCGTCGTTAACCATGGAAATGCAACGCTCCCCAGGGAACACCATATCCACTATGGTGTACTGTTCTATCCCAACAAGCAAGAGTCAAACGCTATAGTAGAGTACTTTGGCTTTCCCSTACCGGTTTCAGCTGGTGCCAGATCCAGCCTCATCAGGGGGACGCGACTTTAGGATGACGGGTAATGAGGGAAATGCTCGTAATATACACTAGACCTYTTTCAGTCCTTCTTCCTTGTATTCCTTCTCACTTTGCACCAGCACCTCCACTTCCAATTTCCATTCAGCAACAAAACCTCCATTATCCCAGAATATTCCCTTCATTCCCKCCGCATACTTTTTGGGCACATTATTATGGTTTCACATGGGTTCTTATCAACCGCAGTTAACACAAGATCCTTCCCCATCTTTCCTAAATTCAAGATTGTACTTGCATCTATATTACCAAGGTTAACTGTCGGTTTCATACACCTCAACACGTCGTCTTATTCCAATTGTTTCTCAATTTCTAACTCTCTTAGCACATCATTGATCTCCTTCCTTACCCTAATCTCTCGCCCSTATTGATTAGGAATTACTATATTCCTCATGTTCTTAATTAATTTATTAACCCCTCCAACTTGCTTAGTCTACATATCACGTGACCCCCTTCTTTCGGGAGGTTGTATCCTGCACAGTTGCAGACCCCCATCGATTCTTGCGCTGCAGAATGGCGGTTGTGGAGAATCTCAGAGACTGATTTGTTTTTTTTTCCAAACCGTTCTGATTTTCTTGCACGTGAACATAGCATTGGTCAGCGGTAAGTGATCCATAATATGRTAAGTAACTACCCTTCGTACTGCTTTCTTGCATATTCCCACGTGTGTTGAAACCAAATTTCCTCCAAAGCACTCCTCCCAGTAAGTCCCTCAATCCACTTCGGCACACCACTTTTGAAAATAGGTTTGTTGCCAGGRATAGTTTCAGCAGGTCAGTCTTGTTAAGCTTATAAAGCTTTTTCCTTGCGCATGGGTTCTTCAGTAACAGATTTTAGCCGATTCTTCAGATCCCTATTTTTCTTGGACAGTGTATCGCCTTTCAACTRCTGGGGCGCGGACTCTCCACCWTCCTCCAATTTCTTCTTCAAGTCCGAGAGTAGGATAATATCATGTCGATTGCCTATAGTAAATGTACTTTTTCCCATCTCTCTAACAATCATTCGTCAATCCTGACCCCATATTTTTCCYCCAGTCGATACAACTTTTTTGTCTCCTTTTTCAGCAGATCTACATACCTTTACTAGATTCACCGATTTCACATCCTTTGTCGARAAGATCAGTGGCTGCTCATCTATAAAGTTTCGACATCAGGACTTCTTCCTCTCTTTCCTACCTTTTCTATTATTTTTACTAGTCCTCCGCACCCCCCCCCTTCGCGTTCAAAGATGGAGTCAATTTCCTTATGTAAGCACTTTAAAGTGTCAGAAGATCATCAGTTGGAATACATACGATAGGAAGGGCTATATAGTTCAGACATCCTCGTTTTTTAAACCAACTGTACAACTTAGAGTTCTTCGTATTACATACATTATTTGTCCGGTATACGTGCTCATTCCACCTTTCAAACAGTCAGTGGGAAGTATGTCCGATATAAGTTGCCCTATATTCAGGATGAAGCAGAACATAGACATAAGATGCTGGATCCTCCCAGCTTTCAACATCGTTATCTATGAGGTAACTCCAATTACTAAGGAACTTCTCCGCCCATTGGAGTTCACCCTTCATTACTAGTAAAACAATAATTAAYCTTWGCGTTCGTTCAAGTATAGGTTTTATATTTGTATTACCTATCATATTCTKTTTAGCTAATACTTTACGTACGCTGAGCATAACCAACCAAGTCAGTCCATATATCTTTCGTATGTCGGATCATTACTCCCATCCCCATCACCAGGGGTACTTGGCTGTCTTGGTACACTTGTTGGTTCTCTAATGACAACGCCCCTTTGACGTGGCGTCATAGGTTGTGCCGACGGTCTTTTGAAGAAATGCATTGTTCTTAATTCCATCAGTTCATCCACTGCTTCAGGTCGGCCTTTGTCGAYCACACCCGCTTCCCTGCACATTTCTTGCAAGGTAGGCATATATTTCTTACCTAGGAACTTCCGGATCAACTTTCGGAAGTTAGCTTCATTCTTGCTACTAGTCTCTACTGGAGCACCCTCCCACAACGTCGATTCATAGACARGGAAACCTATWTTTKTTTTTTKTGTYCTTCCTCGCTCTTTAGGCAGTTGCTTTTCCGCAGTTAGGCTTATCTCAATCACTTTTGCCAGTTCCTCATCATCATGAGGGTTTGATCTTCCAACCTTTGCTGGTGTTTTTGCCTGTGAACTTGTTTGGTGGCCAGATG